AACATCCGACATGTCCAACCTCATCGTCCAACTCATTGTACGGCATGGTCAACCTTAACATCCGACATGTCCAACCTCATCATCCAACCTCATTGTCCAACTCATTGTACGGCATGTCCAACTCATTGTTGATGTTCAACCTCAAAGTCATACTACCTGTGAAATACTTATCTGTACTACCAGTAATTCATACTACTTGCACAGTTATATTCTACCATGTTGTTGTTTACTACATTTCTTTTGGACCTTGTAAATATTATATTTCTTTTTCACCTTTTGGTACTTTATTTTGTACTTTTACTGCATGCTTTAGTATTTCTGGTTGTGTTTGTTTTCGTATCCTGATCATTTCATTGCATTGTTGACCTTGTGTTAACCTACATGTGACAAACAACATAATGTCCAGCCTAAACGACTGACATGTCAAACTTCAACAATCGAAATGTACAACCTCGTTGTCCAACATGTCGACTCTCATCATCCAACATGAAAGAGGAATGTCACTTTGGAACCATGACTAGAGTTGTAAAAATATGTGCCAATTTTTATTTGCAACAACCCAGTTTTAGAAAGCTGAGACACGGTAGTGTTTACAACTTGTTGCAACACCCTTTCCTTAAAGAAAATATTTTTTTCAATCCATAATGCACCAGTTGTTTCCAGTAGGCAACAGAGCAGGGCTGGCTGACCAGTTTAGTTTACAGGCTCGTACTATAGTTGCAACATGACCATTTGTGGTTTGGCACCGTCTTGCTAAGTGAAGTGACCACTTTGGCCCAGAACTCATGATTTCCACACAAACTTTCAAATTCCTAATAAAACAGAGAAGTTTTCCACTTTGCATTATTCCATGTTCGACGAGTGCCAGCACAGAGAAGGTAAACAAATTCCCAGCCTCTTTCTCCAGGCATGATTTCTAGCTGAAAGTTTCTCTCAGAAGAACTTTTAATAAAGATTACAGCCATTTAATGCAGATTTCAGAGACACTATGGATGCAAAAAAAAAAAATGGGTCTCTGATTATATAAATACTGCACTACAGTTGATGAATTATTTCAATTGATTAACAATGTTACACTGAACCTGCCTCCCCTTCCATCTTTACTTCTGCAAGACTCATAATTGCTAGTTGGCCCATTCAGTTGAGATGTTTCAGCTGTACCTCTTTGTTTTTAGATGTCCTGCTCATGTCACGTTCATATAAACTAAAAACATTTGTCTCCAATCTTCTGTCATTTTCAAATCAAACAAACAGAATCAATATTATTTAGAAAGTGTCGTGAAGCGACGGGTAACAAGAATGTTACTGAAACAATTCAAACTATAGAGACAAAGCTCAGGAAGCAGACCTGAAGGCAAACCAAGTTTATTCTCACTGAACATGTGCAGGGGGAAGCAGCGCTGACCAGCACACAACAAAATAACCTCTGGAAACAAAAACTGCTTGGAGGGACAGGGATTCATCATCAGCCTCGTTGCCGTTTGGGGTTCTTTAGTTTGTTACTCCGAGTGCTGACTCACCTGCAGCCATTGATTTTGTGATTATTATTTTTTTTTGTACCTGGCAAGGCCATCCCTCTTTTCTTTTTTTTTTTTGAATTTGGCTACTGTGTTAGAATATTGAGGTTGCAATGATCAGACAGTAAAAAAAAAAAAAGGACCCAGAAATTTGCCTCATCCACTCTAGTAGTTCACACACACACATAGGTACAAAACCCAACAGACTTTTAAAAGTTCAGGTTTTAATTTACCTACTGTATACCAATAATCCACAATCTCCTTCAATGCGTTTAAAACCTTTGGCTGGTTGATGGATGTGACAAAGCATCAAATTGAGATCACCTTCCTGACGATTTGCAGTGATTTAGATTTAAAAACCTTTGAACTCCTGGCCTTAGTTGCTGTTCTTATCTGTCTTTATCACCACACAAAGCTCCATGTGGTCCAGCAGGAACGAGGGGCAGCTGCAGCAGTTTGTTTGCACAGATGCAGCTCCTGCTCTGCATCTGAGCCTGGTGACGTCTGGAGGTCGTGATTGTAAACAAGACCACCTCCATCATATATATATATACACACACACCCCCTGACTGCTTCTCTCTGATCTCTCTGTGGGGGGGGGCTTACCTTGTCCAGCTCGTCGTGGAGCTCCGACAGGGTGGGTCTGATGAGTTTCTCCCCGAGCGGCGCAGCTGTCTGCCGGTAGAAATCAATCTTGGGCACGGCATCGATGGTGTTGTGTCCAAATGTCCTCAGGTAGTAGGTGTTGGTGTGCGTGTCGTAGTGATAGTGATGCTGGCCCCCCGTGGATGAATGCAAGCTGGTCTCGCTCATCACCGTGTCCCCGTTCTGCAGCCCCTCCGGGCCCGCCTCGGGGGAGGCCCCGCTCCCCGCGCCGCTTGGATCCGCGAAGTTCACAACTCGAAACCGGCCTTTGGCTTCCTCCCCGCCGGCCCCCGGTGGGTCACTGCCCGGGCCTTCCGGCGCGGCAGCGGAGCCGTCAGAGCTCGGGGACCTCTCCTCGGAGGCGCCCGCGGCTTCGGACACAAGGTCCACCTGGAAGCGGCTCTGACTGGGCGTCGGACCGGGCGGCCTCTGCCCGGCGTCCGGGGCGAGGAAATCGATCTCTGCCGGGGCAGAAGGCGCGGAGGATGGTTCCGACATGGTTGTGAATACAAATGTAGCAGCTGTGCTGGCCCTCTAAACTCTGTGAATAAAGTGTGAGGGCGCCCCGCTGCTAGTTAAAGAACACGCTGCTCTGCGCGAGAGGAGGCGAGGGTGGCCGCCCGGAGCGCGAGACACACGAGCGGAGCTGTTAGCCTCGTCCGGACAACAAGTAGGCAACTTTTACCGCCTCTTCTTCCGCGAGAGTACATCCAAATCTTCCCGGCAACCTTCGCCTGCTCGGAGTCAGGACTCTGCTTCGGAGTTTTCTGTAACCAGGATGCTGCTGGAGACCTTGCCGCGGCTCCTCCTTGACTCCAGCGCTGCTCGCGCCGCTATTATACACACTGCGGACCGCGAGCCAGGGAAGGTTGGGCTCCGCAGAGGGAGATCTCGCGAGACTTCGGTGATTTCCTTGTGTAGTTTAAGGAAGGGGGAGGAGATCTCGCGAGATGACATCACACTATAGGAGGAAAGATGACTACTAGGGGGAAGGGGTTACAGCGCCCGAACAGGCCGAGCAACAATGCGCGTTCACGTGCAGCTGCTGTGTGTGTGTGTGTGTGTGTGTGTTTTGTACTTTGTTGTCAGGACCAGAAGTCCTCATGGAGACGATTTTTATGTGGGTTCAGTTTAGGTTAGAGCATTGATTTTCACATAAAATAATCTACAAATTTTGACAGTGATTTTTTGGTATGGCAAAAAAGAACAAGCCTTTGTTGGCTATATTCTAACAGTGGACTATGCAAGCTCGTGCGTGTCTGTATATGTGTGGAAATAAACATTTTTCATTCAACCTTTATTTAGACAGGTAAATCCCATTGAGCCTCGAGGACTCATTTACAAGAGAGACCTGATTTCAACAAAGAATGATGACAACAATGGACAACAGCGACAACAATAGACAGTTATAAAAGAGACGTACAGATTTTTTTTTTACAAATTTAAATAAGATGGCAAACAAGTAGCAAAAACAGCTAGATTATAAGACGACTGTAGAAAACTAAAAACAGGAACATGTCTGCATTGGTTCCTGCCAGGAGTCCAACAGATTCTTAAAGCCACTCAGAGAGGTCAAGGTCAAGAGCTTCAGGTCTTTTAGATTATTATTATTATATTTTAGATAATTTTCCTTTCACTTTGAATATTAATGCAAATACTTTCATCCTTAAAAGTTATCAAAGACTGTTACCAAAAGTTACTAAACATTAGGCCAGTTTATCGGAAACTTCTTTGTTCCAATTTCCTAAATAAAGTCAGAGACTTTCATTTACTTCAAAGTTTTTAATTTCAAATGCAAGCTTGTACTTTATGGTTCTTGAAAGCAAAATGACCTATTTTTGTAGAACGCCCAATTTCAGTGACTTGTTATATAGAAATCTGCGATATGTGTGAAAACAAGCCCTATAAAATATCTGTGGTTCCCTGTGGCTAACATTAAAGGATTATTGTTGCTACTGTACTTATTATACGAACAGGTTCACACTACCTTGTAGGAATGTGGTGTTGCCCTCATCAGGGCCTCCTCAGATTTACCGCGCCCCCACCCTTCTACACACACACCTTTGCCTTGGGCCTGAGCATCGGAGCTCTTCATGATTCACAAACGTGTGTTCTGCACCGTGCAAACAATATTTTGCCATTTTACTGCAGAAAGAACGCTAGGTTTTATTTATTTATTTTACATATTAGGAGCTTCAGAATGTACCAAACCAAAGACAAGGCATTTTCTTTTTACAAATTCAGTTAAGTCCATATAAATTAAAAGATGACCCAATTACAAGGGAATCAAGGGAGCCATATAATACAGACTAAACAGAACACACAACATGTATTAAGTGAACTTAGAGGACTCTCTGAGTCCTTCAGAAATGAGAAACAACTTTGCAACTTTTAAAAGGCGCCATGAAGTGTAATAATTAGATTAGCGCTGGCTTTTCACAGTAAGATTGTTCTGGTCCAAATTTTGACCGTTTTTTTTTTCCAGCCAGGATTCTTGCATCTGACGGAAAGCAGGAAACCAGAAGGATCAGATGTAAGAAGTTGAAATCACTGACCCTTAATACAAGGTACAAGTACAAGGATGAGTCAGATCCTCCGGACAGATTCTTCTTTGTTGAAACGTTTCAGGAAGACTTCTTGAGTTTTCTTTGTCTTTCGGATAAAAGGTAAAACATTCCAAAAAACAAGAATCCATCCAGAGGACCTGATTCAGTCTAGTGGTTCTACACTTAATGCTCCTTAACCTTCCTGAGGAGAGTGAGGCAAAAAGTGTGTGTGCTGGGTGAGTGGGGTCCTTCATGATGCAGGTGGCCCTATTCCTGCATCTGGAGGTGTAGTTGTCTGTGGTGGTGGGGAGGCTGACTCCAACTCTTCTTGTGGAAGTTTCCTCCCACAGACCAAAAAACGTGCATGTTAGGTCAATTGGTAAATTGTCCCTAGGTGTGAGTGAGAGAGTGAATGTTTTTTTTGTCTCATTTGTCATATGTGTCTCTGTGATGGACTGGAGACCTGTCCAGGGTGTACTCCACCTCTTGCAGTGCTTCAGCTTCCCCACAAGCCTAAATTGAAAAGTAAGTATGGATGGTTGGATGATTCTATGCTGAAGTCTCCATTTGTGTTGTAAAGTAAGCACTTTTCTGTGACAAAGATGTGAAATAACAAGAGTGTCTGACAGGAAACCTAAACAAGAAATATTTGCGGTAAAGGATAATTTCCATTAGAGAGTCCTGTCTGCTGGGTCCACATCAGACTGTCTGCTGGGTGCACGTCAGAGCAGGTGATTCTGTCATGGTTGATGGTTGATGGGACCCAAATGCAGATGGACAACGGGGAGCTTGAGTAAAAATAAAACTTATTTATTTAAACAAACAAACAAAACAAAAAGCAGGTGTGGTGGTAAAACTTACTGCTGAGAATACACAAGGGGAACACAAGGAGGACCAAAACATTTGGATAAAATCAATACAATGAGCTGCTGGAGAGCTGGAGACTGGGTATACAGCAAAATGAGGGAGAGGAGAATGGGAACACCTGGGCTGATTGCTAATTAGGAACAGACGAGGGTGTCAGACTGACTGAACATCACTGAGAAAGCTGACTGAGGGTAAATGGGAAATGACATAAGAAACATTGGGAAACAAAACAAGGTCTAAACCAGAATCCTAAAATAGGAACAAAGCAATACAAAAAAGCACAAGATCTAAACTGAACAGGAAAACACAAGAGAACCCAAAGGACAAAAATAAAGCATAAACCACGAAAGGAAGATGAAATATAAGGACCAAATAAAATCAATGAAAAGCAACAAACACCACATCTGGACTCTATATATCACTCAGTCAGTGGTCCCCAGCAGGGTATCACATCTCTTTATACATGAAATGAACGAGTTTGTAAGAACCTGTTGGTGTGGACAAGATATTTCATAGAGTCTCATAAATGCAGAGGATTAAGATGGCAGCAGTGTTTGGGTGATCACTGGTGGTCAGGGTCCATGATTGTTCTGCACTTAGTTTGCAGCATTTTGACCTTCAGACGTTTTTCTGTTGTCACATAACGCAGGTCAGCCTTCTGTCCTCATAAAGCCTAACAAGACATCATGCTGATAGTTTACTGGTTACCCTTCAGGATCAGGGTTAATAGTTCCTGACCACTGCAGACTGGAAACATCCCATAAAATCTGCAGTTGTTGAAATGCTTTAACCCAGTTAGGCTGTGGGGCTCAAACCTTTGTCTGCTCACCACACATAAACCTTAAAGACATGACGTTCACATGCTGCCTTATTTAAATTACTATAGGGGTGCTGTAACTAAATAACTGTCACTGTTTCAAAGGAATGAACCCAAGAATGCACATTGACGTGAATAGCTTGAATAAAAATAGAACTTAACTTTATTTTAACACAACAGCAAAGACTTACAGCAAAATACTCGAGGAAACACAGGAGAAATAATAATAATAATAATAATAGTAATAATAATAATAATAATAATAATAATAATAATAGCGAGACACAAGGAGAGCCAGACGTGGCATGAATGCACAACAATGCAAGACTAATGAGAGAAGTGAGTGGAGGGACTGTAAGGACTGGGGCTGATGAGAGGATAACATGTAGCTGTGACAAATGATAATGGAGAGCAGGTTTAGATATGGCAAAATAGAGGAATAATATTTGATTATGGAAAAATATTTAAAAAAAATGGTGAATTAATGACATTTGGGACACATAATATAATAATAATAATGTGTGATGTATTGTCGTCATTGTATATTTCCATGCAATGGTGAAATTGGCTCTCTGCATTTAACCCATCCACCACCAGGTGGAGCAGTGGGCAGCTACTGAAAGCATCTGTGGAGCATTTGGGGATAGGGTGTGCTGTTCAGAGACACCACAAGATATGCAATGACTGGGGATCGAACCTGGGACTTTCAGGTCCCGAGTCGGCTGCCCTGCCTCTCATATACTGGAATACTAAGAAATCTAAAAACAACAAACAAACACACACACAATTTATCAAAACTACCTGAAAAGACAAAAATCCTGTTTTCATATCAAGGTTCTTTATTGTCATTCTCACCACATGTGATCCATGAGGTGGAACACAATTGTGTACTCAATGTCGCAGTTACACCCACAAATAGTAAAAACATAAAGTATAAAAAGAAACATTAGACAGTACAAGGATCTGAGATATACTGTAAAACAATAATAATAAAATGATACAGTGTATTAAATAACAGCCTGAACATGAGTCTGTTGTGAGCAGATGGCTATGGGTAAGAAATCAGCAGCATGGATACTCAGCACCAGTCAGGATGCTATAGCTAACTGGTGTGTTTATTATTATTTGAACTGGAGAGTTGGAATATCCTGCACAAAACCTTGATGTTAAAAATAAAATGTTGATATAAAAAGGTCATTGATCAAATTATTTGACTCAGATGACACTGTTTGGAGGGTCCCTGGTCCAATCTTTCTCTCTTCCTGTCCTCTCAACCCCCAGCCATACGAGACAAATCATCCTGAGCCCGATTCTGATGGAGGTTTCTTCCTGTTAAAAAGGAGTTATTCCTCCATCATGGTCGGGTGGGGAGACAAGAACATTAAATCTAGTATTTCTTTTAATCTCTATTAAGTTCTAAGACTACATGTAAAATTCTATTTAAGAATAATTCTGAAAGCAAGCCCTTCTTAAAGTGGTAAAGGTTTCCTTGGAGCTGATAGCATATTGACTTTTTGATTAATTTGACCCAATCTATCAATAATTAAACCTCATATAATTATGCTTTATGGGCGTA